AGGAGGCGGGATACCGGGGCAGATGGGCCCCGGGGGAGGCGGCAGGAGGCGGGATACCGGGGCAGAGGGGCCCCGGGGGAGGCGGCAGGAGGCGGGATACCGGGGCAGATGGGCCCAGGGGCAGGCAGCAGGAGGTGGGATACCGGGGCAGAGGGCCCAGGGGGAGGCGGGAGGGTGGATACCGGGGCAGAGGGGCCCCGGGGGAGGCGGCAGGCGGGATACCGGGGCAGATGGGCCCAGGGCAGATGGGATACGGGGGCAGATGGACCCACCTTTCCCTCCCCCAGGTCCACGCCATCCCGCTGCGCTCCTCCTGGGTGATGACCTGCGCCTACGCCCCATCGGGGAACTACGTGGCCTGCGGAGGCCTGGACAACATCTGCTCCATCTACAGCCTGAAAACCCGGGAGGGGAACGTGCGCGTGAGCCGGGAGCTGCCGGGCCACACGGGTGAGCGCTTGCCTCGGGACAGGGGGCTGGTGGGTACAGTGCGGGGGGTGGGGGGAAGCCTGGACACCTGGGTTCTCTCCCTGGACCCCAGCTAATCAGCATCATGCCGTCCCCCCCCACCAGGTTACCTGTCCTGCTGCCGCTTCCTCGATGACAATCAGATCATCACCAGCTCCGGGGACACCACCTGGTGAGCCCCCCCCAACCTCGGCGCTCTGGGATCTGCTCCCCAGAAACACATGGGGGGCAGGGAAGGGTGGAGCTGGTATGGGAGGCCAGCAAGGTTGTGGGCTGGTGGGTGGGGCTAGCAGGGAGGGCCCTTGGGGTGGGGTGGGGGCAGGGCTAGTGTGTAGGGCCAGCGGGGTGGAGGTGGGCGGAGCCAGGAGCAGGGGCTATAGGGCAGAGCCAGTGGGCGGGAAAGGGGCAGAGGTTGGAGGGGACCGGGGGGGCAGGGCATGGGTGGGACAGGGGGGTGGAGCCAGTGGGCGGGGCTGGTGGTGGAGCCAGTGGGCGGGGTGGCTGGGGTGGAGCCAGAGGGCGGGTGTGGGCCTGAAGGGAGGAGTTGGCAGACAGGGGAGGAGCCAGATGTCTGGGGGCGGAGCCAGCAGACGGGCGGGGGGGGTTGTTGGCCGGGGACGGAGCCAGTGGGTGTCCCAGCCTCTCCGCCCCCCCAGCGCGCTGTGGGACATTGAGACGGGGCAGCAGACGACGACGTTCGGGGGCCACAGTGGGGACGTGATGAGCCTCTCGCTGGCCCCTGACGCCCGGAGCTTCGTGTCTGGCGCCTGCGACGCCTCCATCAAGCTGTGGGACGTGCGGGACAGTATGTGCCGGCAGACGTTTACCGGGCACGAGTCGGACATCAACGCCGTGTGTGTGAGTGC